AAGACTGAAGCTAACAGCACGTGCTTTATAGTGTTAAAATGTACATGTAAAGGACTACAGAAAAGTATAAGTGAGTTAGAGCGGTAAAATCCAAGCCCATGGCGTTGCGACACCTCAAAGTCAACCCTGTCTTAAAAATTGATGAGACAGTTTCTAAGCAAGTTGAATCTATGTGCTCAAACTTAAGTAAATATAGTATAAATGAAATCTTATATGTTTTCAATCTATTCAAGAGCTATATAGAGGAATATATTTGAATTTATAATATAGAATGGATAGATTTTTATTCTCTCATATCTATGCGTAAAATCATATCTATAGAAGTTACAAGGTTTCAAAGCTGTACCAGTAATGCTGCAAATATTTTACCTTCTCACGTGATTCTATTTAGTCAGAAGAAATCAAAATCCAAGGAAAATAATATTTTTGAAGCATTTTTTTACGAATTTACGATTGTCAAAAATACCTTAAACATGTACTTAAGCACTCTCATTACAACTAAGGTTAATGTGAACAAATTCACTGTTAATTTTTATTCATTTTAAAATAAAACAAACATGAAATATTTACAATCTTCATCATCGATATAATCAGCGTTAAATGTTTGTAACAATAGTAATATTAAACCTTTACCGTGTTCAATTACACTTATAGATCGTTACGGGTCAACGTAATGGGGTGTAGACCGACTCCATAATTAGTTTTCTTATAAAAATCATGAACTTTAAAAATTTTGGAATATACATGACTCTTGCGGAATCTTTTTTTGTCAAAAAAGTAGAAAAAAATTCATTTTGAAGTTTTTCTGTTTTTTTGCATGACCAATGTTCCTTTTTTCTATCATCTCCCACTTCTAACATCTAATTCTATACCTTGCGTTTATTTATTATCTTACAAATAGTTGATAGTGAGAGGAAAAATTAAAAATGTTCAAGGTGGATGATTTTTCTGACAAATATTCTTTTTACATTTATTTTCATAAAAAAAAACACTACGAAATTATTTCGAAGAAAACTATTTTTTTTGAAGAGAGTTTTTAAAAATAAATAAAAATGTTTAAAGCCCTGTTTGTGGCTTGATTCATGAAATCATAAAAGCCTGAAATATGATTTAATATTAATTTGCGTCACGTGGCAAGTAGAGAAAAGAGATAACCGTGAACCGCAAAATTTTCTTTCAAAAAATTATTTTATAAATAATAAATATTCGTTCATAGATCACCGTCAAGTATTTCCCAATTTTTTAGGTTTTAGGACAATTTGTTAAATATCAATTATCGATGTTCTTGTCTAAATGTTTATATTTTAGTGTACAGGTATAGTGGTGTACTATGTACAGTGTACAGTGTACAGGTATAGTGGTGTACAATGTACACTATGGTTTAAAAGGTCTATGTAAGGTTTTAAAGTTCAATTGTACAATTATTAACTGTATGGCCAAAATGTGCCCAACTGTAACAATGTACAGGTATAATGGTGTACAATGGACACTATGACAAGTCTATGTAACGTTTCAATGTTCAGTTGTACAATTATTAACTGTATTGTCAAATTTGCCCAATTGTAACAATGTACAGGTATAGTGGTGTACAATGGACAATTTAATATGTCTTTGTAACGTTTTAAAGTTCAATTGTACAATTATTATCTGTATGGTCAAAATGTGCCCAACTGTAAAAATGTACAGGTATAATGGTGTACAATGGACACTATGACAAGTCTATGTAACGTTTTAATGTTCAGTTGTACAATTATTAACGGTATTGTCAAATTTGCCCAATTGTAAAGTGTAAAACTATTAAAATGCTAAAACTTTTAAAAGTTTGAACTTTAAACTGGATAACTGTATAATACGTGTTATACAATTCTTCAAATGTTTACTGTAAATTGTACAACATTTCAACTCAGAAGTGTACAATTGTTCAATTGTACAACTACAACTTTATAATTGTACTGCACTGTACAGTCGACACTTGTTCAACTATACAACTACATCTTTTAACTGTAAAATGTACACTTTTTCAAATCCAGTCTATTTTTGTACATGAAATGACAATCGGATTTTCAAGTTTTTTTTATCTATGAAATCATTTTTTGATTTTCCCCAGAGAAAATGTTGCGGAGAATTTATCTTGTTAAAGTTAACTGTCCTGCTTTCAAAACTGTTCCCCTGAATTATTTATTATACAGGGTGTCCCACCAAACATGTCAGTTGGTGAATAATTTGAATGTCTTCTGCCTATATGCCATATTAAATATTAAAGACTTTTCGCTGTTTATTTTATTAACAAAGTATGGAAGACTACAATTAAAACTGTTCACCAACTGTCATGTTTCGTGGGACACCCTGTACCTCACAAAAGTTTGCGATGCTTTTAGAGAAGTTGACATTATAGTTTCGTTAGTTCATATTTCAGCTAGACATTATGTACTTTACTGAAGTGTGTACTAGATGGGATGTACTTTGATGTAGTATGTAATAGATATTTATGTACTTTGCTGATCTGTGCACTTAATGTAATGTACTTTGCAGAAGTTAATTCATGTAATTTACTCTGCTGTAATATGTACTTAATGTAATTTACTATGCAGTAATATGTACTTCATGAAATTTACTATGCAGTAATATGTACTTAATTGGATGTACTCTACAATGTGTTAACTTCTTTCTTACATTACATTACAAAAACAGAAAACCGGGGTTTTTGACGTTTAATTCTCATGAATTCTTATTTCTAGTATTCATGCTCCAGGAAAAGATAAATCGATCATGACTTTTCACTCTTAAGCTGAACTTAAATCATCTGAACTAGCAATTAACTAAACTAATATCAACTGAACCAATTTCAACTAAACTTATATTACCTGAACTAATCTCAACCAACCAATAATTGAACCTATATATACTGAACTAATATTAACTATACCAATTTCAACTGTCCGAATATCAATTGAACTAAAATCAAACTGAACTAACACCAACGGAAACTAATATCAACTGAACTAATTTTAATTCAACTTTATGTTAACCGAACTAAACTAATATTATTATCTGATCTAATGTTAGCTGTTCTAATATGAAAAGACTTAATATCAACCGAATTAATATAACTGGACTATTATAAACGGAGCTATTATCAACCAAATTTATTTTAGATAAAATTTAAAAAAAAAACTGAAATAATATCAGCCGAATGTTTTCAACTGAACTAAGTGAAAAAATGTCAAAAAATCTGTTTAAAGACTTGAATTAAATGTTTTAAGGAAAAAAGATATGAATCGATCTGAACCCTGATTCTTTTGAAAAACCGGTTTTGATTTCTGGTGTTGATTGTGTCATATCAATTGAACTAAACGTCGATTGAATGAACGTAAGTTTTGGAATAATGCTTATTAAGACTAACGTTCAAAATGACCATAGTCTTGAAGTTGGTTTTTAAATAATTTAATATTAACATGATTTTTAGATTTGTTTAAATGCTCTAAAAGCCAGCTGTGAACAGCTTACTTTTATTCAATCGGATATTAGTCCAATCGATATAGCATTGTATCTGTAATTGTTATCAAACGTAACTGTATACAGTAAAAATATCCAAAAACAGGAATATAAGAAGAAAATCAAAATTGTGTACATTGGATAATCAGATTAAGTGATCGTGATTAAGGACATTTTCTTAATCTACTTTTACCACCTTAATGGTCATTGGGGTTAAAAAAATATCTACTTTTACCATCGCATTGTTCTTCAGGCATGCCTCTATTGATATTACGTATACAGTCCCTTTAAATTAAGCATAGTTTTGAAAGTTTCAGATCCCTTAAACTCTTCTCCCATAAATTAACCCTTGCACCTAATTCAGAATTATTTATATCTTCAAAGCAGTTATCAGGCATTACACCTGACTCTAAGATGTTTATGCATGTTGAAATGTTGTATATTGTAATCGATTTAAAGTTTTTAAAGTCAAGAATTATTTTTGCATTATGTTAACCAAAGTTTTTTACCTACTTAGATTATTGCTAATCCATAAAATCCAAATTAATGTCAGAAATTTAAGTTTTACAAATATAATTTAGATTTGGTCTTAGGACCTCTTAAGATTTCAACTATTGAGCATTATTTATAGCTTCAAATCAGGCATTACACCTGGCTCTATGATGATGTTTGTACAAAAATAATAAAATGGGCAGTTTATTTAAGAAAAGTAATGGTTTGGTTTAATGTATTTGATAAAACTTTTTTTATGTAATGATTTGCATTTTTTGCTTAATTTGATCAGATTTTCAAAATAATAATGTCATCGCTAAATTAGTTCAAAAAAAATTTATTATCTATATAATAAAACAAGACAGTCGTATATATATATATGTTGTCTATAGCCGGCCAAACGGCTGGACCGATTGGGCTGACATTTTTTGTGGACACTCATGGGTGGACGGGGGGTGTTATAAGCTAATTTTAAAAAAAATATTTTTTTTAGATATTATTTTTAAAATTTTTAAAAAAATTTCTTTCACCGGCAGCGCCGGGCCCTTCAGCTTGTTGCTAATAATTCCTGAAATGTTAATGGCCTCCGTATTTCAAACTGTATAAAAGATATTTTGCGTCTGAAAATGTTGTCATAAAATCAATTAGATTATTTGAACCTATAATTTAGTAATTATTGCCCCCCTGAAGAAAATTACACTTTATGACCCTTGGTGTTAAAAACACCTCAAACTAAAAGATTAAAAATTTAATCTGATAAATTTCTGGAATTGTCTTTTCTTGTTAATAACGCAATCTTAAAGTTTTATTTATTGCGATATAAATTCTTGTGGTTTTTTACTTTGTGGTGTATCATGACTAATCATGATGAAATATATAGCTTAAAGGTTTAAACTTAACAAAAATTGTTCTTGAAAGGTTGATTGTAGAAGAACTTCAAAAAAAATATTTAAAAAAAATATTTTTCATTTTTATCATAGTTTTATTTTTGATCAATATATTATTATTTTTAGGTATGTGACCTTATGTATCAACTTTCAGTTTGTTGTTTATATGGAATCATGGTTAAGTTGAACCAGGTATTTTTTTGTTTTCTTTAACCTAATTTTAAATTCAAATATTGACTCAATATCGTAGAAAAGTGTTCTCTATCTGGAATGCAGAGCTTCAAATCTGAAATTGTATTCATTGTCTAATTCTGACAATTAGATTTATACACAGAGACTGAATTAGCAATCATTACAATACACGCTTTAGTAAAAAACGATTTTTTTGAGCAGAAACTTTAAGAATTTTAAAGTTGGTTTTTGCTACAGAATGTCCCAAAAAACGTGAAAATTCAGTGACGAATTGGATATAGTCTTTTTTATGAATTAGCATTGTAATACCTAATTTCAAAAGCCATAATATTTTTATGTCTGGTAGATTCGAGTTTATTTTATGAAAAGAGTAAAAGACTGTAAAGATGTGTCTATAATGTCTCCGCAAGATGAACAGGAAAGACTGACAAGTTTACTCTGTTTGTGTACTGCAATTTTCTTGTTTGTACAACCGTATGCAGTCAAAACATAAACAGACAAATTGTGAACATAGCAGACGAAGCTCTTACAGATTACAGCTTTCTCAGTAGCACTTTACTAACTTAAAGAATTATTTAAAAAGACGATATCGAATTAGTCACTGAATTCCCATGTTTATTGGGACACCCTGTAGTTCGTTTAGATATTGCGGTAAAGTTCCAAAATTATTTTGCAGTAACGGAATCTTGGAACAATTGAAGAAAGGAAAGAAATTATTTATTATTGTCCTTGTCGTTAACTATTTTTTGGCCAACTAGCAAAACAACCTATCCTGGTTAGGCGGGTCCAAACAACGTAAAATATATTTCTTGTTATATTTTATACGTTATAAGAAAATATAAACACAATGAGAGGTTGCGTTATTAAAAAACTATTGTTTTTAAATCACTCAACCTCGTTGCATTAAACAGTCAATAGTTTGAAAAATATTAAGACTTTATATTTTTGGATTATCGGCAGTTGTCAAGGATTAAAATCGTAGATAAACACGCGATTTCAAATGATAATGCAAACAGTTTCGAATCTTAAAACAAATTATTTAAAAATTAATTTCTTTCTTGTATTGTCATAATTTCTGGATGCATTTATGTTACCTGCTTTAGTTGAATAATATACTAGCTCGGGAACTCAGCTTTAACTGGATACTTACCTTTATTAAACCCAGTCCACTAAATTTTAAACTTTAAAACCAAGTTAAGAGCATTCTTGTGGTTCTACCGAGTTCCCCAATCAAAATTTGAAGCAAACCTGTCCAAGGGTTCATGAGTTATGATCATAAATACAAACAAACAAACAAACACAGATTACTACTTTTTCCCCTTCCTTTCTTCCCCACCCCTTACCTTCACACCCCCAATTTCTAGGAGAAAACGCCTTTGCAAAACTTCCTTTATTAGAAAACTCTAAATTAAAACCACTCCAGCTGAACTTAAACTCGGTATTTTCTCCACTTCGTCCGGAAACCCAGTTTAAGTTTAGTGATTTAAACTCTCGCCTCTGCATTCTATTCAAGAGATGAAAATATTAAGTTCTGTAAAAAGTTTGATGTCTTGTCTCCTTTTTCCGGCATACAATGCAATATGTAGAACGTTTTTTTAGCGGTAGATCATTTAAACGGAGGGAAGTCATCTAAGTCATTTAAGGGGCTTGCAAGTAAATCTTTTTGGATTTCCGTTTGGATTATCTGTAAACTTGAAGAAATAATAAAATCTGATTCCCGATAGTAAAAGTGCAGAAATATTCTTATTGGATTTCCTATTTGTAAAAGTGCAGAAATATTCTTATTGGATTTCCTATTTGTGAAAGTGAAGAAGTATTCTTATTAGATTTCCTATTTGTGAAAGTGAAGAAGTATTCTTATTGGATTTCCTATTTGTGAAAGTGAAGAAGTATTCTAATTGGATTTCCTTTTTGTGAAAGTGCAGAAGTATTCTTATTGGAGTTCCAATTTGTGAAACTGAAGAAGTATTCTTATTGGATTTCCTATTTGTAAAAGTCAAGAAGTATTCTCATTGGATTTCCTATTTGTTTGGATTTCCTATTTGTGAAAGTGAAGAAGTATTCTTCTTAGATTTCCTATTTGTGAAAGTGAAGAAGTATTCTTATTGGATTTCCTATTTGTGAAAGTCAAGAAGTATTCTTACTGGATTTCCTATTTGTAAAAGTGTAGAAGTATTCTTATTGGATTTCCTATTTGTGAAAGTACAGAAGTATTCTTACTGGATTTCCTATTTGTGAAAGTCAAGAAGTATTCTTATTTGATTTCCTATTTGTGAAAGTCAAGAAGTATTCTTATTGGATTTCCTGTTTGTGAAAGTCAAGAAGTATTCTTATTGGATTTCCTATTTGTAAAGACTATTGAAGGATGTTTCCATATTTATTCTATGTCTAACTTTGTCTGCAGGAATTGAGCGTTTTGTTCTGATTCCGACCTTTTTCGTGACCTCAGGTTTATTTGATGGTTTGTAAAGAAGGGAGGGGGGGGNGCTTCATAATAATGTAATTTAAGAGAAGCTTTGGATATGTTTACCATGAAGTTTTGAGGAACCTTTTCACCTAAAATACATTTAGAGTTTTTTTTTTAAATAAAAACCAAAACAATTTAACTTACAGTATGCGAAGTTTCTTTTGAAGAAAAACTAATTTATCCACGCTTTGATAATGCTTCTAATGGTACCGTTGTGAATAGTACAAATACTTCAAGCTAGGGGTCACTTGAAGATACGAGAACAGTTTATTTAATCTGGGGAAAGGTAGGAGAGAGAGTAGTATTAAGGGAAGTTGAATACGATTGGAGTTGACATGAAATAAGTATTTGGATAATGAGATACGTCCTGTCTTAGATTGGGGGATGGACCCCCCTCCCCCCCCCTAGTTTGATTTCTAGGGTTTTATGTTTTGAGTGGGGGCATGTTTACACCCCTCCTTCACCAAACCGGCGTCTAGCTTAATCTTTAAGTCAAGAATTTTTTGGCTTGGCTCAATTGAGATAAAGTTTTTTAGTTTTTTTTTAAAGATAAAATTAGCTTACAATATATATTGCTTAGAAGAGCTAATGCAACAAAAATTTTAGAAAATAATGTTACTCTAGTTTTTTCTGCATTATGTATCCTTTCTGTGCAAGTTCAAAGCTACCCCCCCCCCCTCCTCCTCTATCCGTCTAATAAAAAAATATGTTACTAAAACATTGTACAATTACAGAAATTGATTTAGTTTTTTTAACCCAAATAGTAAAAACTGAAAATATTTCTTCCCCTTTTTCAACTTACTTAAGAAATATTTTACAAATTAAAAAGAAATTTAGAATTATTGAAACAAGATTTAGATACCCCTGTTTTGCTCCTTATTTGTTGCTTTCATAAACCACATATCCTCCTTAACCTTTCTCCCTCCCCTCCCCCCATCCACCCACCCTCAACCCTTTCACTCCTCCTATATCAACCCTTAGAAACCACATGTGACCTACAATTATAATTTAAAGAAACCAGTTGACACCTGCTTTTCGCAATACCTTATGTGACCCCCTCATCTCTCTTTTAGTTAAAAATGTTGACGCCCCTTTTTCGGTTCAATGCCCCCCCTCATACTTTCCAATCTACGCCCCTGAAGTCCTTCCTGTGCGGAGAACTTATTATTTGGCTCAGTTGACTCTTCAGCTCTGTTAAAACTGGGAGATTTCAACTCCTGTGTTTGATAATAAAGCGGTGGCTGAATACACATGAAAATAACGTGACGGAACCTTACTCTGTTCCTTACAGTGATTCCACCTGTTGATCCTGCAACAAAAGTTTTTTATTTTTATATTTTTAATATAAACGTAATTAGTTATAATTGATGCAATTTTTCATTTATTACAATCTAGATAATATTCATGCAACTTAGGACATAAGAAGTACAAAGTGTAGAAGCCATAATTAAATATTTTTTTCTAATTAAAATTTTAAAATATCTATCTTACTCTTAAAATTATGAGTAAGCTCACAGTGCATTTATTGCATAAAATCTTTATGTTATAAGTTAAAAAATACTCTTTACATCCAAATGACGTTTGAACACTTTTTATTTGCTATGGTTTAATTTCTGTAATATACTTTACGTAGTAATTTTGTACGGCAAGAAACTATCTTTAAGGGAGTGTTCGCTAAAAATTTAAGAGGTATAGGCTTACGGCGAAAAATAAGCGCTTTTGATCGCTAATAATCTTACTTCTGTTGCGTCTATAAGGAGAAAATTGTTAAAAACGACTCATGCTAAAGAACGTAGCGTCCATACAAATTCAGAAATATTCAACTCGGATCGTAAAATAATCAATTAACTCCAAACAAATCATTCAGATATTACAATTAATAATCATCGATAAGTTTTCGACGCATCCGTATAAAGTTGATATTTTATAATATTTTTTATTTTTTTTTATGGTCTGATAGTTACTTTTGAAAACATTTATTCCTGTTTCGAGAATTTTTGATAATGAAGACGACATTTTCATATTTTCCAGGAAATCCGGCGCCAGCGAAATATTATTTTCAAAAACAAAATCAAAAATATTATGAAATATTAACTATATACGAATGCGTCGAAAAATAATCGAGGACTACTGTTTGTAATATATGAATAATTTGTTTGAAATTAAATTGATTAATTTAGGATCCGAGTTGAATGTTTCAACTTAGCGAATTTGTATCGACGCTACTTTCTTCGGTATGAGTCGTTTTTAACAATTTTCTCCTTCTAGACGCAACAGATAGAAGTAAGATTAGAAGCGACGAAAAACGCTATTTTTTCGACGTAAACCTATACCCCCTTTCATTTTTCGCGAACACTCCCTTTAAGATCCATTTGTTTCACCATGATTTAAATTTCATAAAAAATATCGAAATAGAAAACCATATGATTCAAACAAGTTGGATTTGAATTAAATGTTTGAATGATTCATCAATTTTAAATGTCATTTTGTAAAACTATAATTATAGGATAATATTTATTTAAAGGTCTACTAATGGATGTTTAATTCAGGGACATACTTAGGAATATTTTTAAAAATAAATAAATTGAACTCAG